TCCCTACAGAAATGTCCTGTTTGTTCTGCTCCAAGTCTCTCCCAAATGGATTTCCATCCCTAAAACCAGAGATTGAAGGGCAGTCACATTAAGTCAAGACATGAATGGGAAAATCAGGATCATGGACAGCATTCAGAACTGGATTACAGTGACATTAACTCTCTAGAGTTAAGTCTAGAGATGTGGAGGGGAAAATCAGGATCATGGACAACACTCACACCTGCAGGATTGAAGTACAGTGACATTAACTGTTTTCAGTCCAGGGATGTGGACGGAAACATCAGGATCATGGACAGCACTTAAGACCTCCAGGATCATAGTCACATTATCTTCTGCACTCAAGATGTGGATGGAAACAACAGCATCATGCACACCACTTAGACCTGCACCTCAGGGCCACTTCCTCTGCTGGATGTGCCCTGGCTGAGCCTAGAAACCAACTGTTCTCACCCCTGAGAGGATCCTGCAGAGGTTTCACACAGTCAAGCAGAGCTGAACCTCAGTGGTACCAGAGGCACATGCAGGGTCAGTCCCACACAGACCTGTCCCTGAGCAGCAGGTCCTGACCCATGAGCAGGACATAAAGGGCTCTAACCATGACTAATCCATCATCTGGTCTGGTGCCCTCAACATAAGAAGGACATGGAACTGTTGGAGCAAGTCCAGAGGAGGCCACCAAGTTGCTCAGAGGACTGGAGCATCTCCCCTGTGAGGACAGGCTGAGGGAGTTCGGGCTGTTCAGCCTGGAGAAGAGAAGGTTGTGTGGAGACCTCAGAGCAACCTGCCAGCATCTGAAAGGGCTGCAAGGAAGCTACAGAGAAACTCTTGGTACGAAGCTGCAGTGACAGGACAAGGAGTAACAGCGAGAAACTGTAAGAGGGAAATTTAGGTTAGATCTTAGGCAGAAGTTTTTGCTGTGAGGGTGGTGAGACACTGTCCCAGGTTGCCCAGGGAGGCTGTGGCTGCCCCAACCCTGGCAGTGTTCACAGCCAGGTTGGATGAGCCTTGAGCAACCTGCTCTGGTGGGAGGTGTCCCTGCCCAGGGCAGGGCTTGGGGCTGGATGGTCACTAAGGTCCATTCCGACCTCTAAAACTCTGTGACCCTACGACCTCCACCCGCGACTCGTCCATCCCCTCCCTCCCGTCACGATCCCCGGGGACCCACGCGCTGTGCCGGGGCCA